AAAGCTTTCAGACACACTCTGTGGCACTGACTCCTTTATTTATCACCTTCTGTCAGGAGAACTGCTGCTGCATCAGAGAGGTCACAACCTTCTATTCTTCCAAAACACTGTCCTGTCTTAAATGAACAAGTTCTGCTTAATGCCATAGGCCAGACATCAATCTTTGTGCCAAGTCCTTCAGTGGACTCCCCCCGGGCTTGAGAAGTAAATTCAGTGAAGAAGGAGATCTGGTTTCTCGCATCCTTTCTTCCCTGCAAGAAAATGCTGTGGGTGCTCTCCAGCATCGCTCTGCTGTGAGGGAAGAAGATGGGCCCAGCAGAACCTTGCACAGGTAGTGCCTGGCTGCACCTGAACTGCAGATGTTCGTGGTCAGCCCTATTTTCAGCTTCTCCCAGGCCTGAGTCCAGCTGTGGCTGGAGCTCAGGGGCTGGAGGGCAAGCTGGGGAGGCTGAGGAGCAGCCACATGGGGTTTGTGGTTTGTCCCAGGCACTGCAGGGGCAATACCCTGAAGCAGAGGAGACAACAAACACTTGTGTTCATCCTGCTGCAAATGTAGGCTCTGCCAGCATCACAGCAGCTTGCTAGCCAAAATTTTTTTGCTCAGCCCCTCCTTTCATCTTCTGTTTTGTCCCCTGCTCTTCTTTCTCTGCCCTTCCTTGCCCATGACTGCAGGTTGGTAAGAATGCTTTTTAAAATTGCCATTATGCCTACTCCACCTCACCTGCTTCCCTCAGCCTTTCCAGCACCTTTTTTATCTCTTGGTAAAGATAAAGAGCCTTTTAATTGTGGTAGGGTAAGGAGCATACTGCATCTCTGGGTGCACTGGGTGGGATATGAGCTGACAGCAACACAGCAACCCTCAGCTTATGTTCTGCAGAACAAGAGATTGCAGGCAGTGAGTATCAGCCACTCATGGCTTCTCTTTATCAGGGCTACTAAAGCACCATTTTGCATTGATTTCACATTAATCCTTCCACTAGTACAACAATGCACCTGCACAGAAATGCCTGTATGTGTGGACCTGTGAATATGTAAACATGTTATATTCTTTATGTGTATTTCCTCCCCACTCTCTGGCTGCTGTTGGATATCTGACAGCAGCAGCAGCAGATTTATTGATCTGGTCATAACATATTAAGGCTGCTGAAGAGCAGATGTTAAAAACAGACTTATTGGCATATATCAGCCCCCAGTGGTATTGGTCTCACACATGTTCCAGTTTATTTATTGAAGCAATTGCTCTTCTCATTCTCTTCATTATCTTTCTTCTGGGCAATCCAGGCACACCAGAGCCAACCCCTTCCAGTCAGTCAATCCTTCTTGGATCATCGTTTTTGCTTTAGCTTGGGCAACACCCAACAACTTTTCCTTCCTGAGAAGGAAAAGCCCATCCCACTGTTCATAAAAGCAGATGGAAATTTATCAGCTGAAAAAATTTATCCTGGCATAAATACAGTCAAAATAAAGACTCAGGGATCCCCCTAACTGGATAATAAGCAGGTGCATAATGGGGCCAGGAATGCCATCTGAAGGGGGACTTCAGTGGTATGACCATATACAGCACCCAAGAGGCTGTGATGCACCACAGCATATCGTGGCAGTGAGGAATAAAACACAGCCATTTGACCATAAAAATGTTGTTTGTCCCATTTTATTACAAACACCCACAGACATGAAATTCATGCAGAGCAAAGCGTTCTTCCTGTGCAGGAGAGCAGCGTGGCTCCAGGCACCAGAAAGGTGTGACCCCAGTCCTTCTTCAGGAGTCAGCCTTGTCACCAGCCTCCTTCAACACCTGGTGTGCACACTCTAAGGTGAGGGCTCCTTCCAGACTCTTGCAGCAGCACAGGTTTATATTATGCAGCTTATTTCTGCCAGGGATAGGGCAGTAATGCTCCTGGCCACAGCTTTGGTGTAGTAAAATCCTGTCAGAGGCCCCCTGACACCTGGCATGAGGAAGCAGAGTCCTGTTCCCAGTAATTCCTTCCAGGACTGGTACTTGCCTCCAGCTGTCACCCCAGTGCCCCACGGCCTCTCTGTATGCTCAGCAGCTTTGCTGCAAACCTCTGCCCACATGATTCTGGATCTGCCTCCTTCAGAAAAATTAAAATTAACTAAATATTTTCCTAATACTTAGCCAGCAGTGGACATCTGTGGACCTGGATGGGCAGGAATTTTTCCAGCTCTCCTAATTTTGTCAGTCTTCATTTTCTTGCCTTAACCCTCATGCAAAATACAGGCAAATCTGGTTTAATCTGGATTTTAGGTGATTTTTGCCACTCATATGCCATTAGCTCCCCCTCATGCTTACAGTAGTATTCCCTATTCTTAAGTCTGGCGGGGTTTAGAAATTCTGCTGAAATAATAATTGCAGTAAATTTTTATGGAAACAGATGGGGGAACCAGACAGCCATAAATTTAATAACTCCTTTGAGTACTTAGCAGCAGAAACACGAGTCCCCTAATTCATTGAGAAAAAAAGTGATTAATGATGATATAG